ACTCGCCTCGCACTGAGAGCAGCGCGCCGGGCGCGTGTAGACTCCGTTGCGCCCTTCCGTGCAGCTCTCGAGCGCCCCGCCGGCGGGGGCGTCGCGGCGCGGCCCTCGAGAGCCCCTCTCCCGAATTAGAAAGCCTCGAGCTCCGGAGCGAGGCAAACTTTGCGAGCATGGCATGTGTTTGCCACCCATTAAGGACGATAAATTTGCCGGGTAAGTGAATGCGTTGCCGCGAGGCCGGCCTCTCAGTCAGTCTTTACAGGGCCTAATGTCCGGACGTCATGTCAGGGGGCGGACCAGCTGTACTTGGCCGGGGCGCACCCGACCTGGGCTTTTGCGGTATTGCGTCACGGCAGACACGTGTATTGTATGTGAGGCAGACAATCCCCTCAAAGGAAGGGGGCACCGGGGTGGACACCGACTAGTCCACGGCAGTATCCTGAGTTGCGTTCGGGGGGGAGGGGGGTGTTGTCTGCGTAAGGACCCGCTGGGACAACTGGTGGGTTGCGCCTGACCTTGAGCGGGCCCGGGAGGCCCGCTCACTCTGACCTTCGCCGCGCGCCTTAATGATCGCTGTGAAACTCATGCTATGTTTGTCTGTCTCTCTCCTTTTGCTAAACAACAAACTCTAAACCGTAAAGCACTCGGGCTAAATAACCCTCCTCAACAAACGAGACTGGCTGGCATGGCGGGCCCTCGCCGAGGCGCCCGCCTCCACCCCGGGCTGCGCCGTGCGGCCTCCCTCTGTCTCTCTCTGCTGGTTAAAAGCGGCCCCCTGTGGCGCCCTAACTAAATGATCGCACCTGGATAAATTAGTCGGCCGGGTAGCGCAGCGGCGGGTACAGCTCAACGGCGAGCCGAGCACCATGCAGCCCAACGTCAACGGGGGGCAGCGGGCCCCGCCCGAGGCCACGGCGAGGACCACGGTGGCGGCGGCGCCCCTGGCCAACGGCGAAAAGCGGGCCCTGTCCTACCTGAAGTCCGCGGCCTCGGACATGACGACCCCGGCGAGGAGCGCAGCTTCGCCCCTCGTCAACGGAGAGCAGCAGGCCTCGGCCAACGTGCCCCGGGCCGCTGATACGGTGCCGTTCACGTCGAAGACAGCCTACGTCGACGGAGAGCAGCGCGTCTTGCCTAGCGGCGGTCAGGCCTCGGCGGCCTCGGCGGCCTCGGCGCCCAGCCCGTATGGACGCGGGGGCGCCCCCGCCCCGGTTCCGCAGGTCGCAGACTTCAACGGACACAACGGCAAAGGCCTGGCGGTAAGGACGTCGAGGGCGTCTCCGGACCGCCAAGGTTGATCGGGTCGCCGTCAATCACGCTCAGCAGGTCAACGATCAAGACCTTGGCCTGTCCAGTACCAATAACTTGGTCTTTAGGTTTGGTGTTCTTGTAGACTTAGTAAGATCCCCCAACGGAAATGTCATACAATGCGTTACAAGTAGTATTTGAGTTGATACAGGATACGAAAGGAAATGTTCCACCCTCCGACGGCCCACGGCAGATAGTTCGGCAGAGGTGCAATGTGGGGAGGAGAAGGAGGGGTGGGGTGGGGAGGGGGGTGCTGGTGGACGGAAAGGGAAAGTGAGCGCCTGGGGGGCTTGGGGGTGGAGGTGTATCCTCAGTCCTGACCTCGCGGAGCCCCCTTCGCTGTGAGACAGCAGTCAAAATATGGAATAGATTTTTATTCGCGGTGGCAGGGGAACGGCGGAGGGTGGCCCTCCTCGCGGCCCCGTGGTG